TAACTGCTTCTCTGTCCCGCTGCATTATTCAGGGGTTTTCTTACAATGTTACCGTGTTTCCACACGTCGAGCTCATCAAACAAGTCCACCACCCTTGAAACTGGGAGAAGGAAGAAGCAGAAATACTAAGCAGCACATAACATACATGCACTGTATGTGGAGACATGGCTCCAAACAATTCCAGAGCCACAACGGACGATGCAGCAGTCACATTGTAGGAGGTAACCATGGCAATCAATATGCCTGGATTGTTAATAAAAAAATTTAAAAAACTGCGAGCAGAGAGGGGGTGGTGTGGAGAAAAGAATAATAGACTATCTGTAAGTGTCAAAGAAGGAAGCTTGGGGGATGTTATGAAAGAGACGATTCCTTGTGGACTGGCAAAGGGCGCTGTGCACTGAGGACATAGAACAGTGGCCATGATATCAAATCTGAGTCAAAGTCTCAGTCCAAATTTACAAACAGCTGAAGAAGGTCAAAACAAAAAAGAAAGGAAAAAATTGCGGTATTTCTTTTAGGATTGCCGTTAAGAGATGTCCTTGGTCAACTGACTGGACTGTCAGATCCAGTCCATCACAGGACTAACACAAACAGACAATCAGACTCATTCTTACGGACAGTTCTGACTCTTAAAGTCAAACCGAAATCACAGTTATTCATTCTCTAACCGAGCGGAAAGTTTAGATTTAGTTTAGATTTTAACTTTAAATTGTTAGTTTATTGGCCATGTTGGTCGATCTTGATATGATGGATGACTATGAAATATTGAACAGACATTCATGGTCCCGAGAGGATGAATCCTACTAACTTTGGTGGTCCCTTGAATTCTTCTCTAGCGCCACAAGCAGGTTAACATTTTGTGGCTTTGGGGAGAAATTTGATAGTTTTGGTGATCTTTTGACTTCTCATCGAGTGCCATCATCAGGTAAACATTTCAAGTTGTCCACTAGCTTGGTTTATGACTAAATACCTGCAATACTAATTAAATTCCCATAAACCTCAGCTGTACTTTATGTTTAGTGGTCTTTTCTCTTTCTCAAAAAAGAACATGAAGTGTAATTTACAACACAGATCTACTGTATATGCTGTAGCAAAAAAGAAGAACCTTAAACTTTATTTGAAATGCAATTGTTTAGAAGACTGGAAGAAGCATAAGCAGGAAGAAAATGTATGTGTTTTAAGTTATTTTACAAATGGAATAAATAGGCAAAGAAATATCGAGTGTAATGTCGAACATCAGGCATCTGATATGAGTTGGCCTCTCGCCAAGCTGGGGGGGGTAGGGTGAGTTGTTGGGTTCTGTGCTAGCCTTGTTTGCTCCGTCCTCTGTCCATCCCTCATCTCCTCCCTCCCTCATCTCTTCCACTCTGAGTGCTGCTGACAGAGACTGTACAGATCAAAGCATGCACAGAACAAACCGCAGGCCTTCTCACCCGGCAAGAGGTCTGCGCTGAAACGCAAACAGAGACGCCGCAACTAGCCAAGGACGAACAGAGAAGCCTGTGAGGAGGAGCAACTAGCCACATGGTAACCAACAAGGCTGTGTTTGTATCTTGTTTTAGTGCCTTTGTTCCTCCCATAAGGGCAAACTGATGAATCCACAAGAAGAGGAGCTTAAGGACAGCACAAGAACTCTTACACAATAAAATAAACTACAGCTGAGCTTTGACGTATTGCTGCATCAGCTCTTCAAGGTTTTAATGTGATGGTGGTTTTACTAGTGTACATTATCATACAATAATTGAATGTCTTACTCAGCTGTAAAATTTGCAATTTAGTGCGAACTGCAATAAGAAGAGATGCACGATGATGGAATTTCAGAATCTATAAAAACGGCCGATAATTACCAATACAATCCCAATAACGAAATACTCTCCATTTGCAAAAAAGGACAATAAAGGGTAACTTTTTAGATCGACCCGTGTATTTTCACAGTGGCAGTACTTCTTTTTTTTATAATTGCTGTTAACATACAACAGTTGCATTTTATTTGCAAGCGAAAATACTCCAAATTATCAGATCTAATTACAGACTAATAACAAAAAACTATTTTTTACATTTATATTCCTTACTTTTGTAATAATGGGAGTCTTTTTTGTCTCTCTGTCTGTCCATCTCCCCAGATGGAGCTCTGCTGCTAGCAGGTCGCTGAGCGGTGAGACGAACAGGAACGGCACAGAGCCCCGGTGCCTGTCTCGGTACTGTTGCCTTGGCAACTTTGGCAGACTGACTGTAATGTGTGTTATGTCGACCTCTTGGTTTCTGCTGTAAGTATAACTGCAGTCCTCTGCTGCTGACCACTGAAGACTTGCCGAACGAATGTGGGAACAAAGCGCCTTGCTCGGGGGCACTTGGGTGAGAAAGGACAGGATCAGACTGACAACTTCACCGTCAACCACATCAATAAAGAAAATATTAGATCAAATTAAAACACTCCTTTGTAATCTCCTGTTCACAAGACTGCTTTTCTAACCTTAAATGTGCAGTCCTTTTGTGTCATAATACCTATGGCATTTATTAGCCACTACATACTGAGCAGCATGGCAGTGTATGACACAAGGCCTTAAGTAAACAAGATCATAAACTAGCCCAAGTATTGATAGACTCATGCATCCCCTCACACATAACTAACATGTTTAATAGCCAGGGACATTTCCATCCACTGGCCAAACTCATTACCGGGGCGGGATAAAACCAAGTCTATACTGTGCAATGCAGTACACAGAATCTGGACCTTGCTGGACCTGTTTCATCTCCTATAGTGACATACAGTAATAGGAGAGTATCTAACTTTCTTTTTTTTCCCCAAAAAAATAAAATTGTGTGCACTTCAGATATTCTTATTTTGATCTGGACATAAAACTATAAACATACATTGAAACCAAACCTGCATCTGTGAGTTAGATTTACTAAACAGGATAAAGGCACAAGTACAAGAAAATCCCCGCATCGCACAAACTGTGTCTCGTTAAATGCTACAGAAGAGGAGAGGCTCAGCAGAGAGCCTAGATTACTATTGGTAGGTTCCAGTGTACCAACGCTACTGATTCAAATGTCCACTTCCTCACTCACTAATCAAAGACTGTCATCTCGATCATTTACCGTATGTAAACTGAGTAGTTGGCACGAGCGGCGGACCGCGGACAAAGTCGACACAGGACCGGACGCTCTGATTGACAAGTGATATCTGGTAAGTCGGCTGTGGTAACACCACAGCAATCAGCAGTTGTTTTAAAGACTTCAGATATATGATTCATAAACTACTTGGAATAAAGATAATAATGCACACTGATCCTTTTTTAGACTTTCTTAGACAAATTGGAAAAACATTAATTGGACTATGGAAAAAAATGAAATAGGCTTCATAGGGCCCTATATACAGATGTCTAAAATTGTTCTGATAAGTGCTTTCAAATGGTAGATGAATTATTTTCTAATTCAATTGTTCTTCTTTATTTCTTCTCCTGACGGCCTTCTGAGCATTCTTCGAGACCGGCACTCTCTCTCACCATGTTGTATACTCTGGTGTCGATTGTATCTGTCAACCGCAGTAAACATTAACTAAAGCCTAAAACTGCTTTAGCTCCCAGCCACAGCTCTTGCTTTTACGTACTTTGCTGCATGCACACCTGCCATTATCCATTCGTCTAACTTAGCATGACTAATTATGATTCACTGAACATTATATTAGTGATCCGATTTTGTTAAATAGAATTTTGCAATATCATGAATCTCACTCTAAAATGAGCCTCTGCGTTAATTAAGGACAGTTGATCATTTAGTGCACAGGTGTATGTCGCAGTCATGTTTCAATCATGCCAACATAATAAGCGCATTTACTTTGATAGACATTGTGATTGTACAGATTTTATTATGCCATTAGCCTTTGTTTCTTATTACTTCCAGCTAACTGGAATGCCAAGTCAGCCAAATATAAGAGCATGAAGAATCAAACTGTTGCTAGATGTGGTTTCATTCAGGGATCAAACATCTTTGTTCTTTTTTTTATTGCTCAACCCTGTTTTAAATAATATTCTGCATTGATTATTAGTTTTAAATTTTAGCATAGCCAAGGCTAGTGTTGTGGTTGTTTTGGACGTCACAGTCAATATTAACGTCTGCTTATTTATTTTAATCCAGCCGTGTGCTCCATCTTCTTGTGTGGAGGGACAGACAACTGGTGTTACTGGCATTTGCACCCAATCTCATACTTCAAAAACAGTATATTAGAGCCTAGCTGGCGCCTCAGGCTTAGGTCATTGGCCGAACGCACAATATTAAAGAAATTGTTCAACATCTTGGGGAGTACACACATTTACTTTCAAGCCGAGATTTAAATTAGAGAATCGATACCACCCTTGTGTCTGTGCGCTAAATGTGGATATAGAGCCAGCAGGCGATTAGCTTAACTTAGCATAAAGACTGGAAACAGGGGGATACAGCTAGCCTTGCTCTCTCCAAAGTTAAAAAATATCCTTCTACCTGCACCTCTCAAATTTGACTAATTAAATACATTTTTACATAAACAGAAATGTAAAAATGACAAGATGTGGTTTTAAAGGGAGTTAGATGCTGGAGCTAGACTAGCTGCCCCTGCTTCTAGTCTTTAGGCTAAGGGAGGCTACTTGCCTGCTAGATCTAGCTTCATATTTAGTGTACATACATAAGTGTGGTATCAATCTCCTCATCCTATTCTCAACAGGCCATTAGGCCGAATCATTTTCTCAAAATGTGGAACTATTTCTTAATCTCTTCTGTTTTTTTGTCTGTGAGTCTGTTGCTTGTTTCATGAAACCACAACATATTTATCATATTTCTCACACGCAATGATGGAAGCTAGAGAGCAAAAAGCTTTTGATTTATTGACACTAGTGACTTAGTGTGCTCTGTTCAGGTTGCGTTAAAAATGAGTTTGTTCACGTACTAGACAACGCTAAACAACAACTGCCATAAACACAGACGTCACTATCAGCTTATGTGTTTCGGTCAGTGCTACTCACCTATATACAGCGAGGAGTCCTTCCTGTGGACATGGTCATCAATGTAGGCCACTCCCAGAGGCTGGACAGGTGTGGCTCCGATGCCCAGCAGAACCTGGGCTCCGATCAGCAGCAGGTACATCATGTTGGTGTTGGCTCTGTTGCCACATTTAAACCCAGAGTCTCGGTTCTCTGACCTGGAGTTGTTGGAGCAGATGTCCCTGCCATCCTCGGCGTGCCACGAGTCCCCGGCCTCGTACTCGTACTGGTGAGTCAGGAACTCCGGCAAGGCCGACAGCAGCGCCCCCAGCGCCATGACGATCCCGCCGCAGCCAATCAGGCGGGGTCTGTGGGCCTTGGCGCCAAAGTAGCTGACAAACAGGATGAGCGCCAGGTTGCCGATTTCGAAGCTGCTGGCGATGACGCCCACATCTGCACTCTGGAGGTTGAAGCGTCTCTCCAGAGTGGTCAGAACACTTACCTGGCAGAGGAAGAGAGAGAGAGCGAGCAAGTGTTAGTCATTTCAAAACTAGCATTTTGGATTTTAAATGACATCACATCCAACCCACTAACTTCTTTAATGCAGGTTTATACACCTGATTTTATATTCAGCAATTAATAATGTATTGTTTCTACGCTAATAATTGCTGTACCAAATCTGTCAGAAGTGTGAATTACGATATATTTCATGTTACATTTAAATGTTTGTGCTCAACATTAAAAGCGAGGCATTGAGCTTCAGGTGCTATTCATTAAACGCCGGCCATCTGCCACCAACATCAGCAATATGTTTATGACACACAGTAGCTGAGCTGCTCCTGCTCTGCTTCCAACACCTTCATCCTCACACGTCTCCTTCTTCCCCTCCACACTAAACAACCCCGAGGCTAGCCTGATGCCGACCTGAGGAAAAGAAATGTGTGCATGTGTGTGGCTTGAGGCAAGAAAGCCTCACGCAGCTGTTCTAATTATGAAACGGACACAAACGCGTCGTACCAGCTGTGTTCTGGGTGTGCGAGTGATGAAGTGGGTCTTGTGCCGGATCGTCTACAGGACTGGTGGTAAAAGGTTGGTCAGGAGTTATTTTAAACTTGTATTAATCATTCCTCCACAGCAGAAGGTACAGTATGAGCCCCGATACCTCTTGAAGTCATTCCAGATAAAAAGGAGTATCAAACCATGGCTATGCAGCTGAAATTAGAGAGATTGTGTACATGGTCCATTCATTTTTCTGTAGCCTAACGCTTATCCTTTTTATCCTCCAACACCAAACTCCATTGCGAAATCAGACGATTTCTTCAAAAAGGCTGCAACTAGCAATTATTTTCATTAACCATTAATATGTCAATTAACTGTTGAATTGTTTCTTCTATACAATGTCAGAAAATTGTAACAAGTACCTTAAGTCACAATGTCCTAAAGCCAAAGATGACGACTTTAATGTTCTTTTTTTCCTAACAGTACAGAAAAAGCCCCAAAAGCTAAAAGATCCGAACATTTAAGATGTTGGAACCCTTTGTGCTTGAGTAATTGATCAACAGCATAACAAATCAGAGATTTAGATCATTTTAAAGTTCGTAAACAATGAGGACTTATGTAAGTGTGCAACAGAAGTATGGCAGAGTGCAATAGTGTGTGACGCTACGCAAGTGCATTGACCACCAAAGATGGCGAATGCAGCCTAAAAAAAATGTCAGATCTGTGTGACATTGGTGAGTGTGTAGAACACATCAGCAAGTGACCAGAAGTTACCACGAGCAACCACAGACACGTTCCACTGAAAGTCACCAGTTAACACGGTCACTCGTTAAACTGAAACACCCGTTTCTCCGAAAAGGTTGTGATCCTGTCGGAATTCTTTAGAACTTGAATCCGCTGTTGGAATATCAATTCTGAAAAGCAAACATGCAACAACCAGATATTTTTGATACTGTTAGCAGTTTTAATTCGATGTTTAAAGTGTGCTAACTCGTCTGGATGGCTGGGAGAAAACGCTGCTTACTTTGCCAACATTCACAGGCATATGTTTTGATGACACTGGCTTTAAAAGGGTCTATATGTTAGGGTCCAATTGAAGAGTGTTTCTTAATCTTACCTAATAACTGTACTATAAGAGAAAAAGCCCTCGGTCTAATTATGCTGTACTGGGCCCAACCATACAGTACATGTACACAGTACATGTGTGGGACTGACGCACAAGACGGTCTGTTAACAATTATTTAAAATGACTACTTTGATCTACTGAACATTCAGCGCACACACTGTCTCCACTTACATTACAAAGTTGTATTTCATATTTCCCTGATGTTATAAGCTGAGAGGCCACAGTTCAAAGGTCACCAAGGCTAAACGACAGGGTTAAGATTTACTCTTGTGGTCCTAGAAGATTTATGTGTGAAGCTGTTGTGGCTGCATGCTGATGGAGAACAGCCGCTTAACACCTTTTAGATTTAGATGCTTCAGTCCAATCCCCTCCAATGTTTACAGACAATACAAATTGTTAGAGAAAACCTTTCACCATTTCATCTGATGCATATAGACTTAGCCCTGGAAGGTTGATATATGCAGGTGCTTCTCTGCTGACAGTGATGGCCGTAAGTCATTATAGCTTTGTCCTCTTTCAAAGTTACTGTAAGTTACTGTAATTTATTTGTAAAAAAAAACAACAGAAAACAATGTGCTACTGGAAAAAAAAAAAGAACGGAGAATGAATGTACAATGTGAACCAACTTAGTGGCAGAATTAAAAAAAGAGACAGGGAGTAAAAGATGATGACAAACTATATTTTATACAGGAGAGGACAGGCGGTGCTTCTACAGTGCTTTTGTCTGCAGCGAGATTTGCTAAAGGTGCACTTTTGGTTTGGGATGCTGGTTTAGAGGAGGAAGATCCACTGCAGTCTTCAAGGTAAACACTTATGCACTTTAAATTTGGGACTGGTGCAAAACACATTAAAACCAACTCAGTTGTGTTCCTGCCAAGAGCTGCAGTCTCAAACAAAAAAACATGGAAGAACTTTTATTTTTGGCAAGTTGCATCTTTTTCCAAACAATGTCTCTATTTCAACATCTCCACTGGGAGATGTGACCGTGTACAGTTTGATACAATTTAGGCCTTTTTCTTTCTCGCCAGAACCAGCACGCAAAAGCTGCACCAATATAATAGTCTGATCTGATTAAGAAACTGACCTTTGACCTTGCCTCTTTTTAAACTGCCTTCCTGCGCTGATATGAATGTGTGTGAAGATGAGTTCTTTATCAAGTGTTGTGTCCCTCACGAAGAATAAAATGAAGCCCCATGTCTGCATGTGCTATTATTTATAGTACAAAGACTGTGCTGACACCTGTCAGGGGCTTTGGCTTTGATCAAGCAAATAATAATCTTGATTTAAGATTAAACATCTTTCATGTTTATACAGATTTACAGTAAGTGGTTGGGCCATCTCTGACTAATGAAGGTAGACCACACAGATACATTAACGACTGCTGTGGTCGGCTTTGGCCACACAATAAACAGCTGACATTACACACATTGCACTTCAAAATTCATTCATAGCCGATCTAAATCTATCAAATATGTTTTTTTTTAACATGTTTGGTGTTAGGGGAATGCTTTAATTTCACCTCAGCATCAGTAAATTTGCATGAAATGGATCATTTAAAAAAAAAAGCTTTTCCTCTTGGCTCCTAAACTCATTCAACCCATCAGTTCATCTATTGAATACATATTAGCTCTTATATTGACATCAGTATAAAGATATCAATGCATGCAATAGCACATCAAACTGTCACTGGGGAATGCAGTGTAAATACAAGAGAAGCTATTGTTGCTTCTGTTGTGGTGATCACGTCATCTGCTAGGCCTATCTCCTCCAGTGTCAAAGGCCTCCTGCATTGCTGAGGCAAACGGGTGCAGGATGTAGCAGAGCCGGCTGGTCGGATGGACCTCCTGACCGGCGTTTCGTAACCTGCTCTACAACAGACCCATCCACATACGCATATATATAATAATAATTAAAAAAATCTCCACCAACAACGTGGAGCCTACGGCCGCTGTGACGCGCTTTGTGTCATGCAGATGGTGCATAGGCCTGATGGATAATACGCAGCAAGTCATCAATCAGTGAAAGCGCCGCGTCCCGTGGCCGCTGGAGGATGTGATTATTCTAATGTGATCAGAATAATATAATTATTAACCGCATCGGCGGCGGCACCGCATCGTTACTCACTGCCTGCCTTGTGCCGGTTTGAAGGGCGCCGCGTTAACCCGATGTTACCTGAGATACACCGAGATGCGACGTTCCCGTCAGAACAACATTGTGTCCGCGGCGGCTGTTATGTGGAGAGAGAGAGAAAAAACTCACCAGATAGGCGCCCACGGTGCCCTGTGCCAACATGAGCGCGCATTCCGACACCAGGAAGATCTTGATGTTGGAAAAACACGAGGTCTTCTTCTCGCTGTCATCCTGCTCCGGGTCGTCGGTGCTGCTCCGCTCGGTGCAGATCTGGTTTTTCACCTGCATCCTTCGGCTCAGGCTCCGGTCGGGTTGGACGGCATGAAACTGAACGGGTCCGGTCCGGCGGAGAGCATCTGGTTGTAATGACGAGCTGGCACTGCAGAAGGAGTGAGAATTCTCCCGTCAATAGCCCGTCTGGGCTGGAATATACAGAGAGAAATACTGCTGTCCACTCAGCATTACGCACAGTCCGTCAGCGACCTCTCTTCACCGCCTGTCCAGCCAGTGCGTCTCGGCTACATCACATTTGAATACGTAGGCTGCGCGTGTGTGTGTGTGACGGCTGCTGATGCCCGACGTAGAACTACAGAACGCCGTTTCCCTACATCCGGGATGTTACATCTCCACCCAGGAACCGGTACCGACTGGATATGGTTTCTCAGCCCGGTTCCGAACTGCAGCTCTGCGTCCTTCAAATAGCGGTGTTGCGCTGCTCCTCCTCTTCCTCCTCCCATCCACGGACCAAAGCAGAACGAGGGAGGTGTAATCTCTCGCCTCCGTTCCTCCCCCTCTCATCATTTTACCTGTGCAGACTTTCAGCTTCCTCATTGCTACCAAAAGAAATGGCAACATTTCATCAGAACTGAAGGTTTTTCCAAAAGCACACAGTGACGAAAAAATGACACAGCAGATCTTCACTTATCCGATCGTATATCTTAGATCAGACTGCCTTTGCAGATTAATTAATACGTAGCTCACAGGCACCATCTCCGCAGGACTTCACTTGACCAGACCAGTATTTTGTATATATATATATATACTCTACAATATTTCATATTTTGACACTCACAGTAGTCCGGCCTCTGCTGTTTCTGCTATTTATATTTATTTGCACTAAAATGAAATTCAGTATAAGTTGAGAGATCATGATCTAGATGCTCAGTCACTCAGGTCATGATATCTATAGAAGTAAGAAGTCAGACCTGATTGGCTGACAGTGGAGTGACATGTTTTCAGAATGACCAAGAAGATCAGAGAGAGAATAGTCAGGCAGGTGGATGGTACTGCTCTATTACTGAACATTGTGTTACCTTTGTATTCCTCCTTATTAACACTTGAAGTGCCTATTATGGCTTTATTGTTGCTTTATAATTCACTGGTTACACCAAATGCTGTATTCTTTTATTTCCCAAAATGTTTGATTGGTTTAAAGAATATTGTTACGTGTTATGTGCTTTCTCCCCTCCTGCCTTTCCTTTCTCTCTCCCTCTGTTGTTTCCTCTTCAGGTGCCAATGAGGTGATTGGTGTCCACCTGTGCAGGCCACGCTGCTCCATGCGTTCCACAGATTTCAAGCTGGCCAATCAGCAGAGTAGAGGCTCAGCTTAAGATGAGGAAGCCTGAGGAGTTCACTCTCTTTGTTTTGTTCTCTGCCTGTAGATGCTGACACGGATGATACATTGTGAAGGTTTGTGGTGGGAGTTTGAGGACAGTAGGTGAGTTTAGGGTACCCTTTACATTTGTACAAAAACGTAGTTGTTTTTGTTTCGATACATTAGGTCTATTGGTCGGCTCTGTATTTGTTTTGGTAAAGAAGTGTTTAGAGAAGCATGTAAAGCCCCTTTGTTTGTTTTGTTTTCAGTTAGCCAGGTTTAGTTTTGTTATATATTTGTTTGTTGTTTCCCATTCTCTCTCACTTTGTTTGAGAACCTTTTGTTTGAAAATACCTGAGTTTAAATACATATTGTTGAATTGTTACTTCCACTTTTCACTATTTCACATTCGCAAGGGGAGATTTTTTTCACTACAGCAGCATTTATGGTACATGTAAAGCAATGAAAATAACAGAGTAAAAAATATTAAATATAAAAAAAATGCAACTACAATTAACTATCTAAACAATAGTGTAAAGATTTAACCAAAACAAACAGTGTAACGGTGTTATAGTTGGTGATTTGGCCAGAGGTGATTTATTATGCAGTCTCAGTGGGCAGGAATGTTCTCCTGTATCGGTCCTTGTGACAGCGGAGCTGGATCAGTCTGTTGGAGAAAGTGCTCCACTGTCCCTGCAGCAGGTGGTGGAGAGGGTGGTCCGGGTTATCCAACATAGATAATAGTTTCTTCAGTATCCACCTCTCCACCACCTTTTCCAGATTGTCCAGTTTGCAGCCAATGAAGGAGCCGGCCTTCTTAACCAGTTTGTTAAGTCTGTTGGTGTCTCCGGCTCCAATGCTGCTCCCCCAGCAGACTACGGAGAAGTACAGTGCACTGGCCACAACAGACTGGTAGAACATCTCCAACATCTTGTTGCACACGTTGAAGGATCGAAGTCGACTCATCCCCTTCTTGTACACAGCGTTGATGTTGGTTTTCCAGTTCAGTCTGTTGTCGATGGAGACACCCAGGAACTTGTACTCCTCCACCATGTCCACATCCTCTCCCAGAACTCTCAGCGGTTATGGAGCCGTCGTCTTCCTCCTGAAGTCGACCACCATCTCTCTGGTCTTGGCCACGTTCAGAAGTGGGTGATTTCTACCGGCCCACTCCACAAAGTCATCCACTACTGCCCTGTACTCCTCCTCCCGTCCGTCCCTTATACACCCGACCACTGCAGAGTCATCAGAACTTCTGCAGATGGCATGACCCCGAGTTGTACTGGAAGTCAGTGGTGTACAAGGTACACAGGAAGGGAGACAGAACAGTTCCCTGTGGGGCTCCAGTATCACTGACCACCGTATCAGACAGCACACTGCCCAGTCGGACAGACTGTGGTCTGCCTGTGAGGTACTCAGTGATCCAGGAGACGGTGGATGTGTCTACCCCCACCACCCGCAGCTTCTCACTCAGTAACAGTGGTTGGATGGTGTTAAATGCACTGGAGAAATCAAAGAAAGTGATTCTCACAGAGCCACCGCTTCCATCCAGGTGCGACTAAGCTCGTTGCAGCAGGTAGAAAAGAGGACACCACTTCTGTGCAAGGATTGGGGTTTTGTTTTGTTTTAGGGGTCTTTTCCTTCAAGGTTACTACAGGGTGGCACTGAGCAGCAGTGACCACAGGCTCACTTGATGCTTGACTCTTCATGCTTGAGTCTTCATGACACTTGCAAAAAGAGCATGAGCAGTTATCAGTCAGTCAGTAATCGGGGTTCTCCCCCTACGTAGTGCTCCAACTAGCCCTGGGACAGAGCACACTCTCCTCTCTCTCTTTAACCCAACACATATGCGCACACACATCTGAACGAGACACACACACACTCGGCTTCTTCTTGTTGCCGTCCGGGTATCCAAGAATAGTAGAGACGATGTCCTGCTTTAATCCAGATTCTCGTGAATGACAAATTGGTCATGTTACGGTAGTTTTAGTTTAGGTAATCTATCTTCCTATCTTCATGCATGACTGGAGTGTACTCAGCTGGCTTCAGGATGGTTAAAAATTCAACACAAGAGCTCTATTACACACACCAGCAGGCCAATGTATTGTACTGCTACAGCTGTTCTACATGAGAACACTCAAGGTGAAACATCATTGTGGACAAATGCTCAGGGACCATTATAATCTACACCATATGCCTCTATATTTTGACACTTGCGGTGGTACGAATCTCTTCCTTAGAGGGATTAAATGATAAGAAGGTGGTTTGTACAATATACTTCAGTTATACCCCCATAATCATCTGTTCTATCGTCTTCAGTTTTATTTGACCAATTGAATGTGTTTTAATTTATTAATCTCGTTTTACCTTGAGTAACATAAATATTCACTTTGAGCACCAATCTGTATTTTTGTTTTTGAATAAACACATCCAAGGGTTGGTCTGGTTTGTAACAGGGATCAGAATGATGGACTTCATCCACCCTGAAGTTTGTCATGCAGAAGAAATGAAAATGACGGCAGAGTGATAGGACAGAGCGCCACAGAGACAGCAGTAAGAAAAAAAAAAATACACGGGGTAAAAATCCTCTATCATAACCGTGAAATAAGAGAGCGCTCAGTGCCAAGGTCACCTACCACTCACCCCACAGCTTTTTGGCTTACGATATTCCTCGGACCATTCAGATGCTCTATCAGGACCAATTCAATAGCATCTGCAGCTGCACAATCTATCAGGCAAACTGTGGACTCAGCAGGGGGAGCGTCCATTTCTCATGGAGTCACTCAGAGTACCCGGGGTGATTTAAGATCAGCCACAGTGCCTGCTGATGCAGTGCAAGCCAACTGAAGACATTATTTTAGGATGCCTCTTAATCACAAGGTCCACAGAGAGAGGAATGCATTCATGCGTTTATCCTGTAACAAACAAATAAATTACCAGAACACAAAGGCACATGATGTTTATATTTAATGCGAAAACTTTTGTATGTTTTGTTAGATATATATACACATATATTATATGTATTTTCTGTGACTGTAGCAGGGGCTCTAGGAACGTCTTCAACTGTCGTGACACAAAAAAACATGTTGAAGCTTTTCCTGAAAATATATTTCCTTTTCTTCTTTTTTTTCTTCATCTGGCCAATTGTCTGAATTATTGATTAAAATACACCCAAGTACTACATCAATATTATTTCACACGTAAAAGTAAACTATTCCTAAAGTACTAATAACGATAGAAGTAATCCTTACTAGAAGAAAAGAAGAGCTGTAAACGCAGGTGAATTGAAAGCGTGGTTGTTTTTCAGTGAATTTGTAATTTTCACATCTTTGATAAATGCGGGAATGTGAAAATATATTTTGATGCTTGAAAGCCATTTGGCAACAAAACACATTTGCCATCACTTTTCAGGTGTTTTTATTTAAGCAGAACTAAAAAAAAAAAAAGAAGAAATCTTTGAGCTGAAGAACACGGTGCAGACAAAGTGTCTCTGACTGTGACCTTCTGACTGTTGGCTGCCGGTCATGTTGGTGATGAAGTGACTTGGTCATGCTGCTCTTGACCTCACACGACATTTCAATAATGAAAAGCATCATTAAAATGACTTGCATGGGTTATGACAGAGTCTGTATATAGCTTCTGAGCTGTTTTAAACAGCTAAATGATTTTCTATGAAAGCAGTGGGCTGTAAAACAACTCCCACGAGATCTGTGGCCAAAAGCTTTGTTTTTAAATAGAGTGCACACAAATTATTACAATATCACACACTACACGTTCGCCTAGTATTTTGGTTCAAACCTCAGATCAACACAGAAACAGGGCCCGATGTTAACGTAACATATATTAAAAAAAACAATTTAAAGTCACAATTATTTTTATCTCTTAATCTGCCAATTAATTTCTCAATCAAACCTCAGAGAATACTGAAAACAATCTCAACTTCACAAAGCCCAAGGTGGCGATTTTAATTGGTTGTTTTGTCCAATCAAAGAAGCTGAAAACACAATGTTTGACACATGTTTGACAAATAATTGCTGATTCTTCTAAGATTTCGCTAATCTTAGCTAATTAAGTTCACTAATCAACAAGTGACTAAT